CAGCGATCGCCGCTTTGAAAGGCTTCAGGTGTTCTTCAAGATTGTTGCCCGGGTACGTTTGGTTTTTCCCGTATGTGAAGTGAGAGTCTTCGCCATTTTCCACGGGCCCTCCTCCAGGGAAGTGCTTAGTAACAGTTTTCACGGACTGAGGGCCAAGTTTATCGCCCTGGAAGCCCTTGATATACTCAACGAGCAGCTCACTAGTAAGGGTGCTGTTTTCGCCCCAGGTGTTACTAATACGCGCCCATCGTGGCTCCGTTGACAGATCGACTTGAGGGTGCAATGCCGCGCGAATTCCAACAGCAATATACTCCTCCTTTGCGACCTCGGCGAACTTTCTCACAACGTAAGGGTCACGAAGTGCAGCAAGGCCAATTGATTCTGGCCATTGGGAGAACACTCCCGCCTCAAACCCGGTACCGACATTTTCCGTGAAGGAATGTCGAGGATCGGTCGAGATGGTGACCGGAATTCCCAGTCGGGTCTGTAATGCTCGCTCTTGTATGCTATTGATAAACTCAGCTGTCTCTGTGGCGTTGGTGATATCGCTTGCCAGGTTGAAATGTGTTATATGCTTGTCGGTGATAGTGCTGCTAGTGCTGTTATGGGCGTTGTCGCCGGTCCCTTCATCGTCGAGAGGGCCGTCAAACAATCTGTTATGGAAGAGTTGGCCAGCTTTCTCCTCGATTGTCATGCGGGCTAGGAGATCATCGACACGCTCGTCAATACAATACGACGCGTCTTTGTAGATCGGAACACTGTCATTGCGCCGTGACAAGGAATGGCCTCTAGGTACGTAGCCTCTGGTGGATAGGGCTATGCACCCTGAGGCCAGAGCTGCCAGGCTCGCTACTGTACAGTCAACCCGCATTGTAGATACAATATGAAAACAATGAGCCCTGGTATTGATGACCTATGCTACAGCAGCCCATACCTTCATCGAGGAGGGATACTCACCTATTTAATATGGAGGCCTTGGCAGATAAAGAAACCCCCGCAACTAGCTTCAAATACTTCGCTTTCACCACACCTACTCAAATGCCTCATGACCTACTGAGCCAAGACAACGGCAGATCTTATCGGCATTGCCGGCAATCTGTATAAGGAGAATACTACCCTTGTTCTACAAGAGGCCAAGACCCTAAACAAGTGAAGGTACTAGTCTCGGGACCACCCCGACGATACTCCGAAAGATGGTAACTGGGCAAGTGACATATCAGGACGGCTTTATGCAACTGACCGCTATAATCATCAATACCATTACACTATTTTAATACCATATAAGCCCACTGTGATATGGAAAGGTCATAGGAAATCCCGGAGGATTCCACACCCTGGAGACAATTACGTCAATTATTGTACGAAGGAATTGAATGTAGCAACTTGCGGGGACCCCGCATAAGTGATCAACCTCTCCACATACAACATGTTGTGGAGCCGACTTGGCTTTGTGGGGATATTACGTGACATGGATGGGAGTCTCTCGTAATGAAACCCATATCACTGGCACAGAGCGGGGTTAATTGCTACCCTACGTGTGGGTAAAAGATTGGTGTTAATATGGTATCGCTCAGATATAAAGCATGTTGGCATTGGTACAGTAAAACACCCAAGGGATATTAGTATTGTAGTCTAAAACAATTCCAGGGGAATACAGCATCGGAACAATTATGATGATTGATACAAATATTGCTTGGTACCATCAGTGATGTTGTAACCTCGAATAGCATAAATCGTATACCCAGGAAAGCAGCCACGGGGCATGGTAAACCCAAAAGACCATCAGCATTAGGCGGCAGTAGCCTCCTCCTACCGTTTCACGGTTCTATCTCGCTTTGTATCCTCGCCAGCATGAACAGAACCCCGTTTGCGTCTTGCACGGTTCCTGCATGATATTGAATATCTCGTGCACTATTGAACATCTCAAGGATCTCGCTAAACCCGACGTCAACCATGAATATGCAAAGAAATGAACCGTTGAGACCAATATGGACATCAGCATGTCTTGCACCTTGTGCAAGGTAGCAAGCTGCTCAGAATCTAGGTGCTGCGCCGTTCACCGCCAGCATATTTGTAACTATGTTTGTGAAGCAGGCAGGCCGAAGCCTGATAGTTGAGTCACGATCTTCGTTCTATCCTCCCCACGATGATTGAACACTCACTAAGTACCGCGGACTGTATGGAGAACACGGATCTTATTGCATGCCTCGCGGGCCAATTTGGCAGTACAAACCATGTGTGAGATGTAACAGTAAGCGGGGTCGACTCAGGGTCCCACTCATAGACGCAGGCATTATCGGTCGACATCGGAAATAGAGCAACAGGGAGGGGCAGATGGAAATTAGCAGGACCGAACTCTGTCTCCAAGAGAACGTGGCGATTAGCGGCTGATGGCGAGAAGTGCTAGATATCCTGACTCAAAATTTAGCCCAAACCATGATTGTCACATGTCTGGGTCACATGCTGAGCATGCTTTTAGATAGTGAGGTAGAACCGAAGGAGAGAACAACTACTTCAGAGGATAGAAAGAATCACATTCAAATGACTTGTCACGTTTCCGCTGCTCCTATGACAATGATACTTCCCCTGACTTGCACATACTGAACTGGCTCCAGGACTCAATGCCTAATCTCATTTCTCCAGTCTTGTCTGTAGCTATTGTTGCTTACGTTTAACAGATATTCTACATTAAGGGAGAAGATATGACTCACCAAGTTACGGCAAGCTCTAGCACCGCTATACCTCCAGTTTTGATTCCCCATGACGTTTGCGGCAATAGCAAAGAAGCACTCCCTTAGGCTGTGTTTGATGGGGTCTCCTAGTGAGGGAGCCCCACGCTGAATGATTGGGGGAACCTGAACGCTCCGTTCGCTTCAGGAATATGGTCTCTTTGTAGGTACAAGCGCGCCTGTCCGGCGTCAAGCACTTTCTGGTGGAGAAGTGCAGAAGCCAGGCAGCCACCGCATGTCCTTTTCAATATGGTTGTTCAAGGTTTGGAAGATGTCGGCAAATTCCACATGTTTTGTGTCCACTCCACTTTCTGCGACCGATTTGCCCCGCGAGCTTAGCATTAGCTTGAATATTTTGGACGCCACTGCAAAATACCAGTCCCTAAACTGCGCTGACTTCGAAGCATATCGAAAGAGCCCCAGAACCCGGCCATCATTATTCCAAATTGCTGACCCGCACATACCATCTTCCGGGCTATCAATAAACCATTGCCCTATGTAAACTGACCAAGCCTTGAGCCATGGTATAGATACTTTTTAAGGGTCGTCGCTAGGGGTGTACAGTCAAAAGTGCGGCCCACATATCCCTTCAAAGTACGCAGAGAACAGATTATTTTTATAATCTGTGGAGCCTGTCTGGGTTTCACGTGCGAATATAAACTCGTCCAGCTTCGTTGGTGGTTTGCCAAGTAGCACTTAAGGTAAGCCTCATCCAAGGGGTCATGCCCCGTTCTACCTGTTCTATATCGACGTTAGCCCCCCATATTAATAGTATATGTAATCACACCTATCTACTAACCAAGGAAATGGCGCTCAATTTTTGACCACATATTGTCCAGGTCAGTAGTCCAAGATGTCTTGATCCTACCAACAAAGCGTACCTCCATATGCGAGCGTGAGACGAGATTGGGTACGACCTTCTCATTATACTATACTATCGGTGCATTGACACCGTGGACAACCCCAAATGTCATGCTAACCCCGTGTGTATGCGAGTCAGGTGCAATTCCTGAAAGACATTGGCAATGGGGCATCCAGTCCGGCTAGTCATCATTGGCAGCATTGTACCATTCATGTGGTGGCCGGCTATTCAAATGACTGTGATCTGTCTGGCCTAGTAAAGATGTGGTTATCCCACGTATCCATCTACCAAAGCTTGCCCATCGAGATCTCATCTCCTGGTATAATGCACAGGCGATGAGAAATCCCGGAACCAGAGACCTTCACTGAGAATACAGACAATTCGACCGAAAATTAATCTTTGCTGTGTAGCAATGTCCATCTTGGCTCTAGTTTCTATCAAGTCAGAAACTCTGAGATAAGGGCATATTGTTAAGAAATAATATAACAACGCTCAAGGTAGAGCCCAGGGTTGGCTGCTCACTTCGAGCTTTGGCAACCACTTTATAGATGTCCAATCAGGTGAATCCCCTGCAATTGACTGAAGACATGCCTACTTCCCGGAATTCAATTCCAGTCGGTTGCCTAACTTTAGGTGAAAGCACGCAGTGTAGGTAGCAGATACAGGTACAGATGACCGTGGATTTGAGGACCAAGTACGGACAGCGAATTGGTTAGGCCCAAGGGCTTGGTTGATACTATGAAGCGTCCTACCGTTATTGGAGGTTGATTACTTGATTGAATGGGGATCTAGCCTATGCCTAGCCTAAGGTGCACCTTGAGCTTCTTTGGCCGTATCCTTAGCAATCATACTAGATGTCATGTCACAAATGTTGAGCTTTATTATATGGAAGATTAGTATCTCAGCATGTCATGAGAGTTACCAGGCATCTGGGCTACATGTAGCCCAACCACCTCGCTGCTAGTCATTCCCTCCTGAGCAAATGGGTCATTCCATAGCTACCTATTACAGCTACGTAATTTATGGCTAGGTATTAAACAAAGTGCGCCAGATGACACAAGCTCTATAGACAAACTAAATCGATATAATATTTGCCATCAGCACGGTAGGTCAGTTCTTTCTGAATATTTACCTTGGGCAAATTTTTAGTTTTAGTCACAGAAAGTGAATTCTTGGATGAAAGGTTCAGTACCAGGGGTTATATTTCCATCCTTACCTCCCTGTCGCATCATTCTTTTGTAATTGAATAAAACCCCACATCTCTGTGGTTTATTCATATTCATCTAAATCCTTCACTCGTGAGAGAGGCCCTCACTGAGTCAATATGTCGCGAAGTATCACGATTCAAGGAGAAGAGTTCAAACTCTTAAAAAATAATATCACTCAAGAAATCGGAGGACCTTTATTATATGAGTGAAGTTCACAACGCCGAGCGTGTATCTGATGGAAGACCAGTAATCGTTAAGCTGCGCTATCAGTTAGAAACTCTGTGTCCCATCCACTTATTAATTTGTTTCAAGGAAGCTGACAGGTTCCAACGTCTCACAAAGGCTTCCTTCTAACCCGAGAGAAGACCCCTCAGACGTCCCCATCATCATTGAGGGCGGTAAGAGGGACTTTCGCTCGGAATGTCGTTCGCTGCATCACAACCAAATGTCGGGCGTTCCTGTTTACCTTGGGCATGAGGAGCTTATACAAAAGGACGAGCATTTCCGGTATCTTCCTGATGGGTATCTGAATGCACTAGTCATGGACAAGGTGCCGGGTGAGCCGGTCACCTATTTGAGACTCACTGCGACAGAAGCAGACCTCATCAAGAATCAACTAGCCCGGATGTTTGAGTGTGTTACTGTCTATCTTCTTTCATGGAGATCACATAGCTAACCTTTGGTATTTATGGTTTTAGCAAGATGCGTCGCAAGGCGTATGATGTAGGCGCTCCGAACACTGAACATGTCTTCTTCGACAGGGAGGCTCAGCAGACGTACGCCTCCGTTGCTGCATGATTTACTGTCGTTACAGATGAACTGATGATCAGATTAGACACTTCATAGGTATGTCCGGCGTGGGGAAGGACGACTATGTGGGCCTCGATCCAATGGTGAAGACCTCTAAGAAAGTCACGATGTTCTGCGTTGACTCTTTTGTCATTCGCCGGCAATCAGCCAAGCAAAGGCATGGATGGTGCCAGACCGGACAAGAAGTTGAAGCAATAATTAGCAAGCAAGTTAGCTCAGATAGCAATGGAATTTTCCTTTTTTTTTTTTTTTTTTTTTGAATCCGAACTTGGTCTTTATGCTGGTGCTTGCCTCAGAGGACCGATATCCCCTAGTTCAGGATCGGCCGTCGTAATGAGATGCCGAGACAACGACTTTGTGATAGATCCAAGTATATATGCCAGGAGCAACTTATTGTCATAGAAAGCACCGCGAAAGCAAACATTAAAGGATATAAGCATCATATTCCTACACTAAAAGTATTTCTAGGGCTCACAGTCAGGGGTACATTGGCCACAGGAAGGACTCTGAATGGCTCGGAGAAGAATGGCAAGTGGGGCAAGTCGTCACTGAGTAATAAAGACCCACAGGCCATTCACCTCCGAGCCAATCGACACCTTGACCTGTTTCCAGGGTTGAGCATATGCCTCAGGCCATCCTGCATAGGTAAGCGCACATGGCATATCAGCCCTATGCAGCTGGGACCACAGTGGCTAAAACGCCATGATATTGTCGCGATTGTGATTCTCTTAATTGGCCTTGTGTATGGATGCCCTTCAGGATAGCAAGATGGCTAGTAGTTTTCATAGCTAACGAAGCTCTAGTCCTGTCAAGTCCACCAATCATTTGGATTTGGCCCCGGGATCTAGATCGATAACGAACCCACAGACCTGATAAAGACTTTTATATAGAGTTGCCAACAATACTGAAGCTCGGGCATATTGGGACGTTGTGGGTCTACGTCCATTCAACTCCGAAGTCTGTTTAAAAACGATATATATCATCTCCGAGCGAGCATGAACCAGTATAAATATGATGCTGCTCCCCTTCCAGACAATATGCCTTTGACTTAAGACCAGGGATAAGCAACACACTGTCGCGAATTCTCTCTAGTTTCCTCGCTTTCTTCATTATGGTGTATCGTAATGCTTTATCTCTAATGTTGGCCACCACTTTGGCCAACGCAGCCGCCATTATTCCACGTGGAACGACGACATCCTTACCCACACCATCCTCAATAGTAGTTCCAAATGACCCTATAGTCCGCCCTTGCATCGCACCTGGTGTCGTGTGTCTGAAACAGCATGCCGCTAATCTCCCATATCCCTTTCACCGTGCTGCTCCCGACGGCAGAGACATCCCGACCTACGGCGACACTGAAGTACCCGCAGATGCCTCCTGGCAAAATGTATCAACAGCCAACTTCATTGTTTTTGACGAGTCCCGTGCCGCAGAGGTCCTTGGAGACTCACCCAGCATGGATTTTGTTTTCTCCGTGGACGCTAGCCACATACACGAGTCCCCTGTTTTCGTCCCAACCCAGAACCGAATCTACTTCTCAGAGCTCTCAACGAACCTCCCCCAATTTACCATCGATCTCAATCAAGATCCTCCCTCTCTCTCGTACTTCACCGCCGACCCTCCCATTTACATCCCCAACGGAGGTTTCTATCACAATAACACAGTCTACTTCTCCGTGGCAGGAAGTAACGCCTCAGTCCCCGGTCTAGGTGAACAACGACCCGGTATCGTCACCTTAGATCCAGCAACCAACAAATCCACAACACTCCTAGACAACTACTATGGCTTGACCTTCACCGACTGCGATGACCTCATTGTCGATCCGGAAACCGGCTTCATCTGGTTCACCGCCCCTTACTACTCCTGGTGGTTGGAGCTCGCCGATATACCCCCCCAGACCAAGTCAGGAACATACCGATTCGACCCAGCCACGGGGTCAACGGTCATCGCAAACGACGAAATGCTCTCACCCAACGGCATCGCACTCAGCCCAGACCGTCGACACATGTACATCAGCGATTCAGCAGCCTCAGGTCTCTCGGCGCCGATCTCACCCGACGTTCCCAGTCCCGGCGGCGCAGGAATCTTATACAATGTTACTGGCACACGCGCAATTTACAAGTTCGATCTCGTTGACAACGGTCGCGCAATCATCAACAAGAGGCCTATCTACTATGATGCCCTTGGTTCTGTTCCGGATGGACTCAAGGTTGCGCGCAATGGGTACGTTGTTACCGCGACGGGGAACGGATTGAGCGTGATGGATGAATATGGGGATATGATTGTTCGTGTGCAGACGAATTTCACGGTTAATAATTTCATCTGGACGGATGCTAATGAGTATCGGGAGGTGTGGATGGTTGGTATGGGTGGTGTTGCTCACTTGAAGTGGGGACTGCAGGGTCAGGAGGCTGTTTGATCTTTTTTTCTTTCTTTTCTACTTCTCTATCCTTATAAAAGTACTATTTTTTGGTTGTATATATATTTAAGTACAGTACAAACAGATGTTCCTGAAATAGAATATATACCCACTTGCGCACAGGATGAACAATTAAAAGACTTGTCTCTATCACTCTATCATTGAAATGTCACCTCAGCCCCTCTTTTGAAAAAGATCGAGGTCATGAGAGTCATTCGGACAAGATTAGGGAATTACATCCAAGGTTGTAGAGAGGTGCAATGATACAACATGCTACACATTCATGTAGTGTTAAATCTCAGACTAAAATTGAGTGCCAAGACTTCTAGGCAGGCAATCTCAGGCTCTCACCTGAAATACCTCAGCGAATGTTGTGAGTGGGCTTTGCTACTGTGACTCACCATACTATTGTGCTAAGCGGTCAATCTACCTAACTAATGCACCAAGCAGCACCTACAACACGGACTGTTCAAGATCCATTCAATGCCAATACTATATAGATCCAGCTAGGACAGCATACACGCCGAGAACTCCACATCTCTGCCATGTTTTAATGGCTGACAGATTCGTACAACGGCACTATATCGTCTTCCTCCCGGGCCAGTTACAAAGTCAAAGGCGGTAACATCGTCAAACAAACCCGCACCAGCCCCAGAAGCATGAGCCCATGGGCTATCATCGAAGTATTCTGCGACTTGCATTTCCTTGGATACGATTGGATCCTTGAATGGTCGCAGCAGAATGAAACCGACGATGATGTCATATAGGAGATCAGTGTGCCAATAGGTGTTATGACAGAGAATCGGATCGAGGAAAAGGATGCTCTCCTGGCTAGCCTTGACCTCAAAGATCTGAAGCTAGGAATTGACGGAGAAGAAAAATATTTCAGCGAGAAGGAAATCGGTGGCATAACTACCGAGGGGCAATCGGTAACGGTCAGGGCACATAGCAACACCTTCCACTATCAGAAAAGGTACAATTTCCGGAGTCGATTATGGGCCGTTGTATATGCCGAGAATAAGCTGTGGGTTGCGGGTTTGTCTGGCACTACGAAGCCGAGCACTATAGATACCTCATTTTCTGTGATGGTAGATGAGTTTCTTGCCGTTCCCGATAAGCTGGAAGGAGAGGGGAAGGTAACGACCGTCGAAGCTGCAAAGCTCTTCAGGATGGGTGACTATCCTCTTCGGCCGGGCTCCCCTAATCTCGAGAACGAGCGTATCGTGTTTGAAGTTTCCCAATTGCGCGCTAGGGGTTACTCAGTATGCACCAGCTGAGGCGGTCCGTTTACCGATTTCCATGATAATCAGGTGTTGCACGATGTCCAGGCTGTGGAGCCACGCAAGATTTAAATTCTACTACTACCTATTGTCTTCTGTGGCTATACTTCATGATATTTACCGAGTAGTGGCATACGGAAACTTAGTATGAGTAAGTTTGTATTCCTCTCAATGACGGCGGAGCCCTACTAAAATTCCCACGATCTTATATGATCGTCACGAATATCTTGGATATGTACTAACACTTAAGTTAGTCCACAACATCTGGTGGAAGTAGCACCACGTAGTCCAAAGGAGCAGGCTCAATGCCGTCAGGCACTCCGATAATCTTCAGCTGGTCACCGTTCTCAATTTCCACGTCCCGAAACGTGATCCGGGTAGCAGAATGGCCGTCAATATAGATGGAAGGTGTATGCCCCAGAGTGTTCTCGCTGTTTCCCTCCCATCGTCCCACGAGGCGGTCATTAATATAAACTGTCCACTCAGATTTCCCACCATACATGTCATAGTAGTTGACACCGAGGTCATACGTCCCCGAGGGGAATTCGAGTCTTGTCTGGGCTGTGCCAGTGGTGGAATTTGAGGTTGTGACAACCGCTTTATAATTAGACGCAGTCTCGAAAGGACTCACTGTGTACGGCTCGTAGCCATCCAAGGTCATAGACTCAGCCTCCACACGCCATGGATGATGACCCACTCGTTCCTTTTCATCTGAAATTCCCGACATGTTCCAGTAGAAGTTGTTGATGGCATCCCGCCATACAAGAGAATGCCCAGCCTGGTAGACTAAGCGAGACAGTACATCATTGTAGCGTTGCTGGTCAACACGATCTTTGAGAGATTCCCACTGGGATAGGAAGCGATGTGCTGTCACTGCACCGTCGTAGTGTGCGTCGTAAAAGTGTTGGATGACGGTTTTCCCAGAGTGGAGACGGTGCGTATACGGAACGTGGTGGAACCACAGCAGCAGATCATCCGGCGTGCTGTCGAGGTCCTCATATACCTGTGCAATTTCGGCTGGATATTGGCCGGCATTCCCTGTGCCATTTTTAACAGTGCGATCCATGCCAATCGTGTCGTGATCCGCGCGGGTCCATTGTCCCCAGCCATTATTGTCCTGCGACGCGGGGTTGGGGCCGTAGTGTGTGTAAAGAATATCGGTCAACGTCTGAATGCCCAAGTTTCCTGTGTAATTTTCGTACGCGGGCCACGATGCCATAGACATGTCAGTGAGGGTATCCAACACAGTTTGATCACGTCCAAAGGTAAGGCGAATCCAGTCCTGCAGGATGCCTTGCGAATCGTCCGTAGGACTCCACGCCAGGCGGCCATACGCATACAAATTAGACATTGCAAGATGGCTCCCTAACCATGTTGTGTTCGTGCCAACATTAACCACCGCTGCCCATCCGCCTAGTTGGCGATCGAACCGTTGCCCCGACACTATGTCGCGAACAACTGACGGTTGATGGTCGACGCGGAGGTCAAAATCTAAAAGCTCTTTCCATAGTGGAGATAGATAGACTAGGTGATCCTGTTGGCCGAGATATTCTTGGGTGACTTGCAGTTCGATCGCCACGTTGGTTTGGTAGAGATTGGCGAACAGAGGAGACACCGGCTCACGGACTTGGAAATCAATGGGTCCATATTTTATCTGCAGGATCACGTTATCCTCAAACTGGCCATCTAGCTCCTTGAAAAAGTCCACTTGTGCATTTGCCCTGTCATTTGTCCAGATCGATTCGTTAATATGATGGTCGTATACAAAAGTGCGAAACATAAGGATCCCGCCGTGCGGCTGTAGGGCTTTGGCAAAAACGTTGGCTCCCTCAGCTAGTGTGCGATTGTATGTATCAGGGCCAGGCTGTCCTTCAGAGCTGGCTTTCACCAGATATCCTGCCATGTCTGGCACCCGATCATACAGGCTGTCGGTGATGTTGGCCCACCAGGAAATGACGGATGGATCAAGTGGGTCGTAAGTCCCTAGCCCACCTAAGGTATCTGGAGAAGCAAAGTTGAGAGAGATGCCTATCTGGATGCCATATGGCCGGAAAACATTTGCAATGCGAGCTAGGCCATCCATGTTCTGGGATGTCAAGAGCGTTGCATTGGCATTGACATTGTTCACGACAATACCATTGATTCGGATGGACGCTAGAAGACGAGCATACTGTTTGACACGGGATAGATCCTCAACAATGTGGCCATCTTCGAAGAATATGGACGGCCCAGCATACCCACGCTCGATGCTCCCATCCATGTTATCCCACTGGTTCACCCATCGAACTGGTGCATGCGCACTGGTGGAATAATCGACGTGAGAGAAGTTGCCCTGCGCAAGGAGTGAGAGATACTCAAAAGCTCCGTACAGTGCACCCCTTTTATTTTCTCCCAGGATCTGAACAGTATCGCCATAAGCCCGCAGCCAAAAGCCATCAATGCCAAGAGCAGGGACTTCGGAGCTTTCATTGCAGGCTTGGCGGTATTGTTCGAGGGTAGCGACCAGAATCGATGATCGCGAGCCACAGCTGGAACGCTTGATAGGCAATTGCTTGCCAACAATGTTCTCCAATCCAGTTTGCAGCTCCTGACTAGCAGTACCTATGGGGCCTGAGTCGGTGCCATTCAACGTAACAATGCTCGACGGTAATGCCCGCTGGCAGTGTTTGTCGCAGTGCACAGGAGCATATCGTAGCCATCCATCGAAGCCGTTCTCTGCTATCGTAATTGCTACGAGACATAGTAGTACGGTCAACAATGACCAGCGCATGATGTCGATGTTCTAGGGTTTGCTCTTCCCATAGAGCAATCAAGGTGATTTAAATACCGAGATCTGCATTTTCTTCAATTCCCGGTACTGATCCCCACGCTAACAATACCCATGAATTCAGGCTATATTAATCCGGGGTAAATGTGGGGGTCATTGACAGACCACCATAATGCACCCATAATTCCACCGTAAAGTAACTTGGCAAGCAGACGGGGAAACGTCATTGCGGGGAAATCGCCATAAATCAGACATGGTTTTAGCCGGAAAGTTGGGCGATCCTCGGTGATGAATGAGTGGTCGGGTTAGAATTTCGCCGACATTCGGACTGGTTATCCCGGCTTCCAACTCAATGTCACTGAAATGCCTAAGTGGAAAAATAAAATTTAGGGTATGCCCAGTGGAAGAAACAATAGTACTAATTAGGAAGAATTGATGCTGTCCAAAAGAGGGATCCATACTGTGTACAGACACGGGACGCGCTAATACCAAACAGGACATTCAAGATGCTGACGGGAGATCATGTGATCCATTGTTTCCCTTTCGGTCTGTTTCTTCCTTCACCTCCAATTGGTTGCCTATCCCCAGGCAATAGCTCTATGTCCAAATGCCAACCGCAGATAGAATGACCACTGTCGCTAGGAATTCCTTTCGCGCTCGTGCGGTACATTTCCCCCCCCAATTGCGTGCCCAAGGCCACGGATTAACAGTTCTTAGTGTGACAATTGTAGAGCCCGAAAGGTACGTTGCATAGCAGCTATTTCAGACCCTTCAACACGCATCTAACAAACAGCAGATCAAGTGTGACAAAGCCACTCCATGCTCCAGCTGTGGTGCATTGGGGATACCTTGCAGGGTGGCAGGTATCTCTACTACCAGTAGTAGCAGTAGCAGCGTCCCAGAGCCTCGGCGAAATGAGTCGAGCAAATAGTAAGGCAGTATTGAAGGCGTCCTTGTATGTGCTTGAGTTGACTATGGCAATAGTGAACAAAGGTTTGAGGCCCTTCAAGAACAACTCGCCGTTATCAATCAAACACTTGCGCAAATCACACAGTCTTCGGCTCCCGGTACTACTGGTTCGGTTTCCGTTCCAGAATCGGCTGCTCATGCTACACTACCGTTCGAAGGGCAGTCGTCCTTCCACCATGAGACGCTGCTTGCTAAGGATGCGGCACTGTCAGCTATCTCTACAACACACAATAGCGGGCTGAATGACCATGTGTCCGCCGTCCTGTCCTCTTTGAAGAATAGCCTCGCGGAAGAACATTCGTCTACCAATGGGCACCCGACAGAGACGGGCTTACCATCATCGTCGCAAGACTCAAAGTCATTACTTCCGGTAGATTTGGTTGTCGCGGTGGTCAGGGCTGTTAAAGGTATGGGTGATCCTTTCCCGCCCCCGAATCATCGGCTAATTAAAATAGCAAAACCTCCGTTCTTTCTCGTCAGCCATTCTTGGAGAGACTTTCTCCAAGTCGAATCCCTTTGCCAATCCATCTACTTCCCAATAAACCCGGTTCCTGCGGGTTCGTTGACTCTTTTATATGGCCTTCTTTATTATATCATCCGTGATTATCACCATGAAGGACATCCAGACCTCGCGCGATATGACCTGTCATCTAGTGCAAAGATTTGCGAACATCGCTTATATCTGGGGTTAAACAGCCATGAGCTCATGGCGGACCCCACACTTGAAAAGATACAAGCACTCTTGATTGGGGTAAGAGATGTCAGTACAACTCCAAACTTCCGCTGACACCAGCAGATAATCAAAGCCCAGGAAGAATTCGATATCCAGCGCTGTTGGACATATCTATCTCTTGCCTTCAACATGTGCCAGACTATTGGTTTACATCGGAATTCCACCACCAAGGGTGACCCGTCTACCCTCGCTGAGACGAAGCGGCATGTCTTTTGGTTGCTTTACACCATTGATAAGAACATATCCCTGAACCTGGGGTTTACCTCCCACTTCCAGGATCATGATATAGACGCAGACCTCTTTGCCCCTTCAGATCATCACCAATATCGCCCATGGGACCTAATGACCCTCGTCACGGCCGAGTTCGCGACGATTCAAGGAAGGGTCTATGATGAACTTTACTCCATTTCCGCTTCCAGGGCCAGCGACGAGAAGAGGTTAAGCATCATTGAGAAGCTTTCTCTGGACCTGATTGCTGTTCGAGACAAATTGCTCGCGGTAGGCCTTTCAGTGAAATCCAATGCACCAGCAGCTGACTCCTCCCCAGATTGACGTTAGTGCAGGCCTCTATGCGGACTCACTCCATGGAATGGCTGCATGTGCTGACTTCATCACCTACTCGGTGCTGACGGTTATCTACCGAGCCGAAACACGTCCACGCAATGCCATGGCGATCTCATCTCGATGCTATGAAGCTGCCACACTAGCTTTACATAGCCACCTTAAATGCTTCACCTATTTCCGCGGTCGCCAAACCCATAAGCAAATTGAATACGTTCATTGGTTAGCACGTTGGACTTTGAGGTCCGAAAGCCGCTGACACGTATACAGGATCCTACTCTATCCATCATTTGCGCCATTTGTGATTGTCTTCACACATGCGATTACCACTGCCAGCAACGCCGACCTCACTCTTCTCCAGGAGACGGTCAAGTCTCTAGACCTCATCAAAGGGCTGTCTCGTGGATCGAGGCATCTTTATACAATCTGTGAGGCATTTGCCAGAGCGGCACAAGTTCTTGTGGAATCTCAGCAGACTCTCACGGGCCTGGAACAACACCAAGATGGCTCACTTGTCATTCCCACTACGATAGATGGCCCGGCCAACATTTCTCTACCAAATGTGCCGTGGCCGGAAGACACATTCGACTCTACAATGAGCCAGGAAGATATATCCATGTTTCTGAACGACTTCATCGGGGCGAACCGATCGGTGATGGATATATTGAATTCTAATTACATGAGCGACACTTTAGGCTAACAACGTTGCACTTAAGGTCCAATATCCATTGCTATATTACACACCAAACAGAGACTCAATCCATCACGGACTGGAATCGAATCTTAGATTACATACTAAAACAACCGATTAGTTTCAGTGAGGTTCAGCTCAATGCGTAACGACTTACCGGAATGAAAAGGTATGGAACCCGGCGTTCGTATTCCGCCCACGCCTCCCCGTATCTCTCCCGGCATCGCTGAATATCCCGAATGACACGGTGAATAATCATCGTCGTGAAAAATACCGAGTAGAACCATGGGAATGGGGAGTTGAATCCTGTGATCAACCCCCAAGAAAAGGCGAAAAACCAATCGCAAGTATAGTGCACTTTGCGTGCCATACCATCTATTTGTTCCGTCAGCATGAGCAGAGGCTATTCTTATCGAGTGGAAACTTACACCATCCACTGCACAGAATGGAGTCACCCGTTACGGTAGGAATCTTGTCCGGGTTTTCGATGTATTTCCAGGGAAGTTGAGGGAATGTCTTCCGGTCAACCCAGAACCCGCGTTCCTGGGCTCTGAACATATTCTTCTGGCTGTTGCACGTGTCCCAAACCCAGTAAGCAAAGAGATACATCGTGAACAGTGCAGCCAGCGCAACTCGATTCCAACGATAGGTTGATGGGTCGTGAGACGCGAGGTACAGGGTGCAGTGGCAATAGCTCATTGGCACACCCGCGAGGTTCCAGAAAATGAGCATAAAACCCCATTTCTCGTAATACATATCCCTATAAGCGGTTAGGTGCAACTGCTTCCAACGAGATGATGGAAACCGGACTTACCAACTGGTAATAATCAATTCCTCGCCCTTGGCGCACGCGTTGGCGTACAGGAAGTGTGCCATCAGCACGAAACACACTTCGCCCGAAACATAACCCAATTCTTCCCACTGCTTCAGTGCTGTGGCCAGTGACAGGAGGAACAGGATATACCAGGGGATTCGAACTTCGAAAAACATCTTCATGTCGAGCCATTTGAACAGCCGAGGGTTCAGTTCGGCACCCATGAAGAAGTCATACATGTGTGAGCCAGTCATGCGATGTTGCGCCCCTCTGGCCAATGCCGACACATAGGCGATTATGGAGACCAGGAACCCTGAACAGATAGCCACCGACATAATCGGGCCGAATTCGTTGATCAACGTATCAAGACGAAAGACCCCGGTAAAGTGCAAGGCCAACGAGCCAGCAATGGTTATATACCAGGATGATACCGCCGAACAATAGTAGTCGAGCTGCTTCCCATTCAGATGAGGCAAACACTTTCCTTTGCCGTATACTCCGGGCAGATAAATGTACCCGGTTCCTTGTAGGATCAGGAAGGTCCAGTAGATGGCCCATGCTCGCCGATGAGGGAACGCGTGGGTGTACGCAAGGTCGAAGAGATGGTACAGGAACTCACTGATGGTCTCGCCATTCTGTGGTGTTGGGGGATGACCATCGTAGAGCGTCGCACCAAGGTACATGTAGTACATCAGTAAAGGAAATCCCAACATCAACGCCGTCACTCCAGCAGGACCACCGAACTCCATATGGGTTTCTGGCGGAGACGCAGGTTTCGATACTGGTTTGTCGGAGCCATTGGCTGACCCATTTACACGACGGTTTCGAGGCATATCTGCTGCGTGGCTATACAAATCAGTTAGTGCGTTGAATCCTCTTGAACGTTCATTGTGCGTTGTTTAGTTCATCGCTAGAACAATATATATATAACTTGTCGGGTACTCACTCATTACTGGCCGAACTAGACGCCGACATCTTCCTCGCTTTCGCACACAAAGCTGCCAGACACAAAGCGACACTTTGGATTAACCCTGACAAAATCGATTCATCTTTCCTGCCTTCACTATTTAACTGAACCCAGGAGCCCCTTACTTTACCATTGTTACCCACCGAAAAAAAGTATCGATATTCGGTTTCCGTGCTCTCCGCGGTCTCCGCGGCGGCCTCGGGCCCCACTCGTAGTCCTTAGCCATTGGGAAATTGTCCTATTATATTTTTTTTCTCTCTGTATCCAAAAAAAGCACAACAGCGAGAGAGAGAGACGAAAGAAAAA